TGCATGGGAGACGTACAACCAGCTACCAAATGATTTTACGAGGGGACACAATCGGTTACATTCCCTTACCAATAAAAGATCCTGAAAGGCCATGGGGTGGTATATGCAGCACATGCACTGGTATTTGTTCTGGACATTATCTACCAGCAGAGAAAGCCTATGAGATTTGAAAACATCAAGGTGATGCTGCTCAAGTTTTCCAACCACCATCAAATATAATTAAAGAAGCTTATGAAACATCCACAAAAGAAAACATTGACTTGTTGAATAATCCTTAGAAGATAAAACACTTGGAAGAAAAAACCAGAAGCCGATGTTAACGTGTGGCTGAAACGTTTGAAATATATAAAAGATGGAAGGGGAAAGGGAGCACAAAAAGCAGCAGCAACAAGATTAAAGAAGGTAACTGCTTCGGGGGCAGAAGATGGTACGCCAAGTACGGAAACATCATGTGCGTGTGGACGTCCAGATAATGTGAAGAACATGGTGCAATGTGAATGTGACTGCAACGTGTGGTATTATTACAATTGTGCAGGAATATCAGGGAATATTCCCTATGGTGCCTGGTTGTGTGATTCGTGCAGCCGACTGGAGGTTATAGATAGTACAAGTGACTAAGAACCAATTTGTATCTGTGGAAAACCAAATTCGATTGAGAAAATGATTGGATGTTATAGACCAGTGTCCTGTAGCTTAGTATCGCTATTCCTGTGCCGGTGTGACCAAGCGCCCCCCAGATAAAAAATGGTTCTGTCAAACCTGTACTCCAAATTACAGATTATGGTGCTTCAAACACTTTGTATTTTAACTGCCAGATATAATAAGTGCATTAGCACTTGTGTATGAATCGCTGTTCTAATATCCGAATGATCATATATTAGTACTTACCAAGTAGAGACCCATGTCACTTGCCTTGATCATACTCTCATAATTTTGTAAATCTAGAATGCCAGTAATGCTTTACTATCTGACGCCAATATTATTGTTATGTTAATCACTTTGTGAGACACCAAATTGTGGGCATCAAAATTTGTTTGACACTGTGTGCTTGCCAATAGATCCATTGTGCAAAGAATGACCCAGGATCACCAGTGTCTAATTTAAATTTGTACCAAATGAAATATGGTTCATGAAAGATTTCTTTCACTGAGCACTAACAGGCCTTGAATACTCTTGGCATCAACTCACAATGTACATTGCAATTTACCTTAGGGAAGATTGTTTAACTGCAAGTACTATTTTACCCATTTTTATGAACCCATGGCCCTCTGTTTTCAGGATGTGACAACAGCATTTGACCATGAATTATGTTTTGTTTTGGGTTGGGATTTGCCTATCCTTCTTGCCCCAGGAGGTGGGACATTTGGCAAATTTTACAACATGTAATCAATATTCTGGGAATAAGACAACAGTGAGATGCACATGGAAATTGTGTGAAGCTCAGATATCCACATGTTGTTGAAAAATCTTATCTAATTGATTCTGACAATGTATATCCATCTCTAAAGGAATGTCATTTTTAGCTGCTGAAAGATTTGTATAGCTTTCAAAGATAGGTCCGAATTTTGAAAGAGTATATAGAGATACGTGCAAGTTGTAATAAGTTAACAAGACCATTGTGCATTGTATGTGAGGGAGTTTAGTAAACAGTTTTCTGTGATAAATTATATTATAAATTATTTCTTAACAATTCCAGTGTATGTTGTATGCTACATTCCAGTGAAGCTTTTTTACGTTTATAATAGAAACTCTACTTCAGTTGATCATAAACATGAATATTTTGTTGTTTTGCTCCATCAAAATGAATCTAGAAACAAACTAGCTAAGACATCATTATGCAACTTCAGCTCGTTGGTATATGCCTGGAAATAAAACAAAAGCAGATTTGCACAACTATATCCATACAAATGTTCACGAAAATGTAGTTTTTGTGCCAAATATGAATAAAATCGCCCCATTGGTGGCTGCGATATGAGCAAATAACTGCATTATTTTAAATTGCAATTTTTTTTGGAGTGCGAGGTCTTTACTGTCAGAAGCACATCTACTTGTTCCAAGGTGTGACCCTACTAAATATGAATAAAATCGACACAGTAGTGGTAGAGATAGCAATCCCACTAACACGGGAAGCGGTAATCGCATCATTCGAACATCACATCAGAAATTATTTTCTAAAGATTGTCTCTTATTTTACCAGCCGCTGTCCAGTATTTCCATAGGACCATTTATGCACCATTGAAATTCAAAGACATCCAGTGACTTGGTAAGCATATGGGTAATTATATTCTCTCTTAATTATGTGTTTTGGGCGAGTAGTAAAACATCGTGCTGCACAGACATCAGAATCATCATTAATTTTCTTGTATCTAGTAATGTGAATTACAGTTTTCATCGATGTGTTTGTCTTCATCCTCGTATAATAATTCGAGGGAATAATTGGTGACTTGTGTATTATTTTCATTGCAATTTGATACAATTTCTTTAAAAAATTAAGTGGGATAGGATAGCCTTGTGAATCATGTTAAGTGCAACATCAAATACCCTTCTAGAATATGTCACAGCCATGCAGTCCCAGTGACAAGATCCGCAATGCCCGCATCACGAAATGTGAGGGTGAGTGGCACACCATGCAAATGATGCAAAATTTCACTGGTAATAATAGGTTGGTCGGTTGTCTTTTTCTAATAGTTGAGACAGAGGACCAAAATTTCCTGAGATCACAATAGTAAACTATAATATTATGTAAGGAAAGATCATATTTCAAATTATTTAAAAGTTTAAGAAAGTAAAATAATAGCTAGGATGATTCACATTTGAGTAAAAATAACGTTGAATATATTGCAAACGAAAGGAGGCAATTTTTTATGGCAAAAGATTTAATAGACTCTACAGGGAGATATTGGCGACCCTGCCAAAAGAAATCAACTAGGGGCTTCTGAATATGAATTAGTACTAGGAGGACATAAACAAACTAGCATATGAAGTAATTTAGATACTGTCAACAACCAATGTCCGTCCTCTGTAATAAATAGAGGGCGAATACCTAGTCCATGATTCAAGTTTGTTTTGTCACTAACATCAGTCCATTTTTTATCAAGCCACATACTTCTTTCCAAAAAATGTGCCAAGAACTTTGAGACCTACCCATAATCCCTGTGACTTCACGTAGTTGATCGGTGCGTTGCTGTTCATTCGCACCATCTACCCTGTATTGTTTGAGCAAGATGACTTTACTGGATATGATATAGCTGCTTTGTAAGTTACAAACACTTGAACAAATCGGATATTATTGGATGATTTTTTTCTTTGACAAATGTGAATGTGCATATACCATAACATCTGAGCCACCTAAACTTAGATAAGCTGTTGAGCAACCAGGGCTTATTGACAAAACTTGCAGAAAGAGTTAGCTGCTGTCAGGGTTGCTTGGCATTTGCGAAAACATATATACCGGTGGGTGGGTGTTGTACTTAGAAGGAACCATGTGAATTCAAACTGATTCATCATTTGTCTTGACCACAGGGTACCTCCCTCCACCTGAGCCAACTGCAGTTCAGTGTGGATGATGCGGTTCAGGCAATCATACAGTTACGTCAGGGTAGCATCTTGGCCAAAACTGATTTGTTCTGCATTCACGATTATCCCATTGGCATCATCTGATTATAATTTGCTGTAGTTTAAGTAGCAACAACTTTTCAAGTCAAGAGTCAAGTAATTTAGAAAAACATTGTTTATTCAGCTAACAAGATATGTTACATTTTATTTTGTAATAACGTTTTATTTCAACCGAATAGAATTTTTGAATTAACTGACCACAACTGGGGTATTCAATTTGGGGTAACCCAGTTGTGATCTTTTTTCAGCCAAATACAGGTGTATTTCATTGTGTACATGGGTTCCAGCAGAGAAGATTGCAATATAATTGAGTCATCGTTTCACAATAAATTTTAAAAACAGCCTTGCAAGGCATTTACCGACTGACGTCCAGAGAACTTAATGGAACCTATGCTAACAAGGTGTAATCCGGGTACCTTCCTCCTCAATTTACCCGAAATCACGCGAAATCGCTACAAATTCTCTCCAATAATTTAGTTATACAATGAACGTAAACCTGACAAACCAATTAGTTATCTAATATTGCCACGTATCGTGCTCCCCTGACAAGTTATCGGCGTAAATCGGGTAAATGGGGAGGAAGGTACCCGGATGGAGGTTAACATACAAAAATGTTAACCTCTAATACAGTAATCTGATTTGTTGTCATGGTCATGATGTATAATAACGACCGATATCTAAGGTTTGCCTGTAACTGCTGCTTCCTGGGTAATATACAGAGTGACAGTTCTGGTTCACAAATTGGAGAGAAGGGTTTTCTGAGTAAAAATTAAAAACCTAGCAGGACGATTTATTTTTAAATGACATACGAAACGTGACATACTTTCGGAATTGGACAATTTTGCCTAGCTGGGACAAGATTTTCATTTTATGAATTAAGGACTCGAATATAAGGGTACGAGCAGCTCTTAAAACATTACATGCGATGAGTGCAGAAGGCAATTAGATCACATGACTATTAATTGTGCAAAATCTAATGTGGCATTATATTTCGGCTTTCGAACCGTATAAACAACCTGTTGTGTTTATATGTACATATATAATATATCGAATTGCATTGCGTGTTGAGTAGGTGTGCGGAATGATATAACCATTACTAAACATAAAAAAATATAAACAAACCTCTGAATATTCAATCATACATATTAGGCAAATAAACTAATAAAATACTCCTAAAGTATATATTACACGTGCAATACTGTTATATTTGAAGGGGATATTATATTTCCTTTAAATGGACAATGTTTTAAATTTGATTATGGGTGTCTTGATATGTGGTTAGGCCTGACTAGCGGAGAGTAGAAAGGCAGGCCCTAAGGTAAATAGGTCCTTACCAGTTTCAGATTTACAATATTGATCATAAAAAACAATCACGAACATAGGTCTTAAAATAGTTCTTGTGGAAAAGGATATCCAAACAATTTAAAGTCCCATTTATATAATTCATATAGTTTAATTATGTCATCTGGTGGAATTTGTGAGAAGTATTTTAAATAGATATTTTCATCAGAACTGTTAGTTGCATGAGTACTGAACGCATCTGGGAAGGATAAATTAGTAACGCCAATGGAACGAAGAAGATAATTTGATTCTTCTACAATATTTTCGAAGTGACCAATGAAATCGTACGAACGTTCGCACACTGCACATATTTTATGCTGGAAATCCCAGTGACTGTTGAAACTAGACTTGCTTTTAGAATTTAACAGAAAACGAACAAATTCGGAAAACATTACATGTTTCTTATCAGTTGTATTAGAGCGATAAAGAGATATAATGCGTCGCCCTAACGTCTTTTCAAATTGATGCTCGTCTGGTATTTCAAATTTATTTCTGTATGCAGACAATAGTCGCTGAAAAGGGTGACGAACAAATAAAAATGAAGTGTAGTTTTGCATTCTATGTCCTGTTCGCGAAATAGTTGAATGATTATGAGTATGCGCTACAGTGTGGGGAATACTAAGTGTACTATTTTGAACCCCTGATAAAACTATAAATATGCGTTTCCAATTAGTGCAACCAACTTTGGCAATATAACAGTATAGGATATTATAATCGTCATTGAAGATCAACTTAGTCTCTTTTTTGGTTTGATGATAGTATCTGTTATCCGATTTCATATCTGCGCAAATATCTTGAAGAAGGTCCTTACGTTGTTTCTGTATTCTGTCCATTTCGCTATTCTGTAAGAACAAAATAACACATTTACTTTAGCCAAGTCAACCGTGTACAGCGTGTGATGATTATTAGCGCGTGCGTGTATATGTAGTAAATCTTTAATTCAACTGAATTGCATTACTTTTATAGCTATAGATCTTTATAGATTACGCTATATACTATGCATTATGTCCACATATTCAAACAACTAAATATACTTATGAAAGTTAAGAACAGATTCGAAGAAAATGTACCATTACATCACCGGTAACGATTGTAGATTTCCTCAGCATACTAACGATGTGTTCCTGTGTAACATGAACCATTTTCGGAAACTTGTACGTACCTGAAAATCACATAACGCAAACATCGTTTGCATCAAAACTTAAATTTTCATTATTGGAGCGGTGGTATAATTTATAATTAGTTTACATAATTGCTCAAATAAACTTCAGTGACGTAATTTTAATGTGAAGTTGTACTTATTCATTTATTTATTTATTCATTCTGCTCACTGACCTAATTATTTGTTCTCCATATATCAAGTTTTAAACATGGACGGCCACAACATACTCTTGTGTGGATATATTTTATGATTTTTTGTTTTCTAACTCATTGATATTGTGATTTTAGTTAATTGTAAGATTACCCATACCCGACAAAGATGCTTGATAATTGGGAAAACTAAATTAAGGTAGAGATGCAGTTTACCTGACAGATATTTTAATTAGTTAATTAGGAAACCAAGATGACCTTTGTCCACAAAACTCTATATTTTCGGAAGCTTATTGTATGAATTTTAAAATTGTGTTAGTATTTTTTTATGGACATTGTAGTTTGAAATATGCACAAAAATGTGCTTGTTTTGTCAAAAGTGATTTTAAAAAAATAGCTTCTAAATCATGTTCTGTTTCCTATCAAAATTGGTTTATGGGAACATCTGTTTACTATGAAGAAAGTGCCGTCTTGAAAACTGTCTACCAGTTGTCAATTTTGCAGGGCAGCAGCTCAAATTTCACTACTTCAAGTTTATGCATAAATTAACACCCAGGCTAGTTGTCTGTACGATTGTTGTAATACTGTTCAACCAAAAACAATGCCCCGACGGCGTTTTGAAGATAAACACATTGTCAATCATTTGTGAAAATTTCAAAACAAAAGGTCGAAGCGTCTAGGAGCTATTTTTTTTTTTAAGTTCTGGGATGTGGACTAAAAAGAAGCTGAGATAATTGCTAATTTGCA